CTTTAATTTTGTCAAAGATATGTTTCGTAGGATCTTTTGTAATTTGTTCATAAACTGATTGATCTTTTAACTTCTCTTCAATTTTAGAAATATAATCCATTTTATCCATGACGACAATCTTCCCACCTTTATCCGCATGGATAAAATGGATAAAAACCGTCATGGATAAAATGGATTATATTTCTAAAATTGAAGAGAAGTTAAAAGATCAATCAGTTTATGAACAAATTACAAAAGATCCTACGAAACATATCTTTGACAAAATTAAAGTGGAAGCTGATAAGTTGTTGGCTCTCAATAAGATCAGTTTAGCACAACACTATGAACTGATTGGAATTGAAGATCTACCTAGCGTACGTGGACAACCGAAACTACATAAGAAAGATAATCCGATGAGACTGATCACTTGTTCACGAAACACGATTACTTCGCCAGTGTCAAAATTCGTATTCAAAGTGATCAAAGATTTAAGAAGTACAGTAAGTGGAGTAGTAATAAATACAACAAAATTTGTAGATGAGATAAGTAAGATTACATTGGACAAAGATGAACGTTTAGCAAGTTTAGACATCAAAGAACTGTTTGATAATATTCCTGTTACCAGGGCAGTGGATTTGGTCATTCAAAGGTTGAGTGAATCTAAGAAATTGGATGGTCTCCCTTTGACTAAGACTGATGTTAAACGATTAATTTTAGTATCACTGAATAACAGCTACTTCTCATTTAATGGAAAATATTATCGTCAGTCAAAAGGTCTTCCTATGGGTAACGCCCTATCACCTTTGATTGCTGATATTTTTATGGACGATTATCTAAAAACTCATCTTAAGGAAGGAAATATCGAGAAGGAAATTTATCGATATGTAGATGATATCCTGATTGTTACAAAAATGGATGAGCAGTGTTTAAACGACTACGTGGAAAAATGCAATAAAATTCCTGGTCGTATCCGATTTACATTTGAATTTGAACAAAATGATCAAATCTCTTTTCATGATACAACCTTGAAAAGAAAAGCGGAACCGAACAAGGTAATTATCAAAGTTAGGTGGTTCAGGAAATCCACAGCAGCAGACAGATTTCTAAATTTTGAATCAGCACATGGTAACTCTATAAAGAAAAACATCGTCAAAAATATGGTCTCTCGAATTTTGCAAACATCCAAAGAACCATCTGAATTAAGAGAGGACTTGAATAAACTGAAAGAAATGCTGTTAAACTCGCACTATCCTTCCAAAGAAATTGACCATCTTATTAAAGAAGCATGTGAATCATCTAATATAACGCAAAAGTCAAGTACGCCAGCTAAAGATATGAAATTTACTATGGTTTTGCCATACGTGAAAGGAATTGAAGTGTTAAAACGCAAATTGGAGAAGTTAGGTATAAAACTGTACTTTTCGTATCCAAACAAATGACTCTCTCACTTCAATCGATCTATGAAAACTCAATCAAAGTCAGTAGTATATCAAATCGAATGTGACTGTAATCCTCCGAAGATCTATAATGGAGAAACAAAGAAAGGGCTTCAAGTTCGAATGAAGCAACATTTCAGTGCAATTAACAATGATGATTCGAAGTCTGAAATGGTATCACATCATCAAGAAAATAAGTATCAGTGTTTATTTGATACTGACAGTGCCTTTGTTATTGACAATGAGAAACATTGGATCAGAAGGAGAATCAAAGAGACTCTCTATTCAAAAGTGAACCATTCTCTGAATAAACGTGATGACCTTACGGAAGCTTGGGATCCTCTGCTGAAAAAAGCAGAGTTACAAATCAAGAGGAAAATCAAATCAAATTTCGATCAAATCAAATCAAAGATATCGAAGATAAAAGAGTTAGAAACAAGACGATAGTGACACAGAAAGGTTAAAAAACCGAACTAGTCACGTTGCTGTCTTGTTTCTGTGTCACTATTAGGTTGTATAGATAGAACAGAGAAAGGATAGAACAGGTCAAAAAGAGTTTACTTTTTGTAAATTTTATATTTTGTACAGAAGTCTGAAGAAGTCACTCAAGGAGTGACGAAACGTAACGACAATAATAATAAACTAGGAAGAGAATTTCAATTATGTCTGTATCATCAACCTTCCTCAATCAACAACAATTATGTTTTAGATTGGATTTTTCCAAATATATTCGTTTACGTCATACTTGGTATTCTCCAACCTGCTTATATATAAAACAAAGTTTTTCTCTACCTAAGCTAATATTTACTATGCCTCGAAACGCGTCGACCCATGTGAAAATATTGGCTCTAACATCTCAAGAAAAACTTGTGAAAAGTTTGCAAGAATAGGTAGAGGGGTTTGGGTCGCTGTGCTTTCGACGATCTTGGCCCACAGACGTTTAGGTCTGAAACGGCTTTCAGGCCATTTTCTGATTCAGTTTTCAAAGCTGAACAAGAATATGGCAGTTTCAACAGTCCAAGTTGGCACGAAACTTGGAAAACTCAAATTTATAAAGAAATGGCGAAAAATCGGGTTTTTCATACCCATCCAGTTTTTTCCATTTTTCAAACGGAAGGAAGTCTTTAAAAAAATCAAGGAGCACATATTCTTGCTCGTCGTGAAAGTCTCTATCGAATGATATATAAGACATCGAAAAATAAAATTTTTGCTGTAACTTTGCTTTACGTGCACCTTACTTGGCTCATTTGTTCAAGCACTTATCAAAGTATTTCACAGTAATAAAACCAAGAATTGTAAAAAATCTTGAAGAAGTACTTGAAAAAGTGTATGGCAAGTGAATCATTTTGAAAATAATTGCCAATTTACAAGTACCTGAATCCCGTACGTTGACTAATGTATGCTGAGATCCCTGACCAGTAGTTTTTACTGGAAGAAAAATATGAAGATACATCAGATTTTTATTCCATACAATCTGTCACACTCTCAACTGTATAAAAACCAACAATGAACTTATCACTATTTCGGCTGAAGATGCAACGTTATTGGTCGATGGCAGACAGAAGTGTGTCTAGTGAGAAACTTACTTGAATCTTCTAAGAGTTTAAAATAACTTGAGGTATAGGCGGTTATACTTTATCTAAGACTTTTTTAAGATTGGGTGAGAATCTATTAGTATCTTAACAGCATCAACTACTACGTTTTTTAATAACACTAATTCACCATTAACCAATAGTGTTTGAATATCTGGCTTATGCTGTTGTCATAGAAGTTCAACAGATTTGAAGAATTAGGTGAAATTTCATATTTTTGAAGATCTGAGTCTGGAGCTTTACTTGCATTGTACATTCTCTGAAAAGTTGTTGGATACTTTCGAGAGAGTAAATACGAGCAAAGTCTGAAAGAAAAATAGCAATGTAAAATTCAGTTATGTTTACATTGTTGCTTATATATACATGTATGGAAACAAAACAAAAGAGTGACCGAAAATAGAGTCATCAAATCTTATTCAGTTCTTAATTAAGAATTTAGATTATCTTAACCAAGCTCTTGAAAGGTAATTTTAAGAAGTATCTAAGATTCCTAATAGGGTTTTTTGCAGAACCCACATTATGTGTCTCCATATAGATAGATCAAGAATTTTCTTACAATCAGATATAATTAAAGATAAAAACAAATAAAAGTAACAAAGAAAACGACTGTACAGCAATTTCGATAGAAATTTATAAAATACTGAAAAATTGTATCAAACGATTCAAGAGGTGAGTACAAAATTAGTCCCAGATAATTGACATTTCATTAAAAAATGTTTTGTTGGCGATAAATGGAAGAATCTAAATTCTCGAATTTAATCCAATAAAATATATTCTGTATATTTCATTTACAGGAATATTGCTACTGTGTCAACAGCATTCGGAAATAGCCAAAATATCGATGCATTAACTCTTCAATCTGAAAACTTATAACTGTCATCTAACTATCCAGGTTTCTCTCTAATCAAGAATTTTGTAACAGCGAGAATATTTAATGTTAATACTAGTTTAAACCTGACCAACCAGTTTTTCGAAAAACCATATGTCTCCATGCTCATACTATTGCTCTGTGATTCAAATAGCTGAACGTACTAATTCATTTTTCGCTATCTTAGTCTTAAATATTAATTTCTTTCATTTATGTATTGTTGATTTTAATCATCTTGATTTTCTTTGAACAATGTTGATTTGAAAAATAATTTACTTAAACGTGTCAGTTTTGTCGATTGTTTTGGTGTTAGTAGTGGTGAATGTGACATTGTTGCTGGTAATGATGAACTAAAAATCAAATATGTACAATAGATGAATATTGTATATGCTCATACAAAAATGACCATAGTTTAATTTTCGAATAGCAAGAAGAAAGATACAGATACAACAGAGTAGGCCAATACAAGAGTCGAAAATTTTATAGGACATGATCGGAATTGTGATTGAAAAGTCAATCCCGTAGGACAATATGCGACAATTCTTAGATTATTGATACGTGAAGTACGTACTTACTCTTTTATCAATGGAAATGCTACTGTGTCTGTGTTTGCCTTATCTTCATCTTCTTCTTCAACTAAATTAGCCGTTAAAGTTTTGCTTTGCATAATCAGTTTTTTCATTTTTCGACAAAAAAGATTTGATTTCGACATTCGAACTAAAGATGAACTATTTTGTTTAACTTTTGTCAAATAAGAATCATCGGTATCATCTGTATAAGCATGATTTGTACGATAATGATCAATCGTCGAATGATTTGTACCAATTAATGATAGTAAACTAGATCTGCTATTAAATAAGTGTTGTTTACCAAACAAATATTCACGAAATGATTTTGTATATATCCATGAGTTTTCACCTGTTGTTGTTGTTGATAATTTCGATTTTGTCGATGATTTTTCACAATAAATTGGCACTATAACATATTGATAGTTAGATGTTGATTTTAAATCATCTAATGTAAAATATCTTAGTTCAAAGCGCTTTTTTAAATCTTCAGTGTATATCCATGAGTTTCTTGACGACATTGTCGATTCAGAAATGTTGTTTTTATTCCGTATATTATCGTTTGTTAAACATTTGTGATTGTGTTGTGATTGATCACAACGATTAGTTTGTGCTGTTTCAATTGCAAAAAATCCGTACCAAAGAACCATGAATATGTTTTTATTTAATATTCTTTAATGTGCTGCCTGATTTAATGCTAATAGTAAAAATTTGAAGGAAAAAGTAGAAAATTTTTTTAATTTTTGACTTGCTTACATACAGTAGATAATGTGCATAAAAAAGTCATTGGTATTCAGTTGATGAAAAAAAAGAAAGAGAGGATATAAGATATTCTAATCATTGTATCTACTCAGTAATTTTTAATCCGAATAGACTCTATATATTTCGAGGCTTCTGTTGTGAAGATCTGAAAATAGTATCAAAAAAACACTGAGCGGTTTTTCTAGTTCTCCTTTTCAACATTCTTATTTATTAACAGCTAAAAAAGAAAACGGAAAGAGAAGGTATAAATAACATATCAAAAGAAATAACTTTGATAGAATACGAACAATGAATTAACTTTTATGATGATAGAAATTTTTCATATAGCAAGAGAAAATGGAAAAAAGAAAATTGTGATAATTGTAGTTATTGTCATTACAATACTAATTTAACTCTATTCATTATAATACCATAGCCTTTTGCCTGAACATAGGAGAAAATATTCATTAGAGCAATAAACACCTTTGAAAACTGAAAGAAAACTAAAAATATTTTTTAATACATTTTTTTGGTAAATAAATCTACTTTTAGATTATAAACAGCATTTTAAATCCTATTTGAAGAAAATTTAGTGCATGGTAAAAATGACAATTATTTTAATCGAGTAAACAAGATACATGCAAAAATTCTTAATTTATAATTTGTTCCTCCGTTGCAATACATACTCTCTTGATCTGTAAACTCGAATATAAAATGAGAACGTAGGACACCATTTTGGTGTGGTCATGAGCATCTAGATTTTTAAGAAAAATAACCTTGTAACACATGTCAGAAAATAGACGAAGTTTTTGATTAAGGTCAACAGAAAGGCTTCTCTTCGCTTAAAAACCTAAATGTTGACGGCTTATAGTTTCATAGAATTAAAATGTTTCTCATATATACGTCATGCTAAGAAGCCATTTATGAACAGAAAAACTAATTACATCTATACAGTGTTTTCATATGAATACATGTTAATTGACGAGGTTCCAGTTTTTTATCGTAACCAGTAATATACGAGTAATACGGTTTACTCTCGACTCGTCCCTAGTTGCTTGCTGTCTCTGAATCTGCCCTACAGTTTTTAGTCTCAATTCGCTCCATTTTTTAAATACGTATTCGGCACACAAAATATGGATCTTGAAGAAGCGAGGCGCCGACAAGACGTGTTTGCTAATTAACTATTCTCTATTACGTGAAGTAGTGAAAATATTATATTAAATCTATTAAAAACCCTAAATTTCCTCCTAATTTATCGGGGAAAACGTGTAATTTTGCTCGCACGAACTACAGTCATGGAGGACACACCTCCGGACGGCGGTGCGGTTCGCAAGAAGCCAAAAACCACATCACGGCTTCAGCAAGAACGACGTTAATACATCGTAAACAGCTTGATTAGTGCAGCTACGAATTTCATTCAATTTTTTGTTTTGCTCAAAAACCGATGTAACGGAAATCAGATAAGAATCTTATAGAAATCTTACGAAAATCGTATATGCTCCAGCCGATAGAAATGCATACTATGGTTATAAGATTCATATACTTTGGAATATACGATTTTCATAAGAGCTACTATATGTTAGTATACGTTGAGTTACTATCATTCACGGCTATTTTTTCAAGCTACTTGTTGATTAGTTCTCCTTTGACATTCGAGATGCAATATGTTTTACTCGGTGTTTTCTTCGAGAACATGGTGCATTCAGATCCATTAGACTCAAATGTGTTGTGCTTACGACTCTATGTCTCGAAGGTGTATAAACAAAATAGAGACTAAATTATCTTTAGCAAAAAGATGAGTATAGACACTCTTGTTGCCGATTGTTGTATATACTGTTCGAAAAATTGTGGAATTAAAGTAAATGCTTTTGAAATAATTCTTGATAAAAACATTTTACTTCTGTCAGGTATCGGCCAAACAATGTAAATTTGTTGGAAATGGGACAGAAGGAAAGCGTTAAATATTAATCGTCTGCTCCAGTGACTCGATGTTTTGGATCTTGTAACGGATTTTAATGTGGCACTATTTTGTTTGATTTTCGTTAGCGCTTTTGTCGCATGAGTAGTAGTTGACAACTTTTCATCTATGTAATATCCTAGATACTTAAAAATATTCACCCGTGACAGAACGGCTTGTCCATATCTCAAAACTATTTGTGGTACAGATATTCTAACATGTATCCATTGCCAATGAGTTTTCCTTATGTGAACAGGCTGTTTCCAGTTTGTTGTATATGTATCTAACTCATCGAGTACTTTCTGTCCTTGATTTTGTATCTCATTTGCAAATTCATCATTATTCCAGAATGGTGATAGGCGTATGATAACAGCAAGATCATCGGCATATAGGTGATTATGACTGGCTAATGGTAAACTCTTGGGTGAACATCTCGCATGTACTCGACGTGGGCTATTAGAAAAACAGGTTTTCATCTTTGGCCAAGCACTTTCAGAAAAGCGTGTTTTTCAGCAGAAATTCCACAGGGTTTTTGTCTATTTGGAAAGTGCTTAGCCAAAGATGAAAATCTGTTTTTCTAATAATCCACGTTGAGTACATGCGAGATATATGTCATCCTACGCCCTGTAGCCCCGTGGAATGGTGCAGCACGTACTCAAACTTTGAAAAACGAGGAAAATCGCCTTTAAAAGTTTATTTTTTCTATCATTGAATGTTTTTTAATCTCAGTGAGAACCACTTCATCGGATAGAGCTTGGAAAGACGCGTCGAATGTACATCTTGCGGTCTTGTGTTTATGTGATTTTATGGGGAAAATATGGTTTAGAAAAAAAGGTGTACTTTTCGGAAAAAACGATTTTTTTAAAAACTTCCTTGAAAACGTGCTTAACACTTTGGAACTTTGTGTCCGTTAGTGATTTTGTAGCTCTACATTTATAGAATCTAATCTGACGGTACCAGCTCATGAAAGTGCTTCATTAAAAAATGGTGAAAATGCCCAAAAAAGGTCTATTCTGCTGGAAAATGGGATCTTCACAGATCTAGGAGGTCACCGTGCCGTTGTTTTGGAATCTTTTAAACGTGATATTCATCATCAGGAGTCCAAGTTGTACTAGTCCTGTTACTCTCGAACAATTCGGATAAAGTCGATGTAAACTCTGGTGGACATTCGTCAATATTCTAGGAGTGTTGGCGAATGTCTCGGTGACATTCACCAATCACCAATATGGCAAATGTCTATTGGCGAACCACGTAGCGAAACGCGACTTTACCATTACTACTGCTCAAGTCCTGTTCAAACAGGAAAATAAACGTGACGCTTAAAGTGACTGTCACTTATAAGTGTGTGCACCCTTTTCGAAGATCGTTTCCCCCTTGTGCGCCCTCCCCCGCTCAAGTTGCCCCAATCCTAGAATAAAATATTTGTTTGGAGGGTATATCCCCAAGTATCCTCTCTCCTGGCCACTCCGATCTTTCTACAAAATCTGATGTTTTACTTAAACTGGAGAGATAAAAAAATTTAATTTTTTTATTAAAAATGCACAGAAACAATGTATGTATATAAGTGATTATAATAAAAATTAACCTAGCCAGAAGTAAACGCAATAAGAAAAATATTAGTATCAAATAATAGTTCCTCAAAATTCAATCAATAATAACGCATGAGTAAATATTAATTTCCCCACCAAAATGGGAACGGGTTATCCTCTAAAGAACATAACCTTGTTTGGATTTCTGCATTTTCTGCATACAATTTTGGTTGGTTCACAAATAATAGTTTTTCTACTAGTGTCACAAACCATTTCGTTTTTGCTATGATCAAAATAGTACCGTACGTCCAGATGAACAGTCTTCTTTAAAATGAACAACACCATCAATTTTTGGACTATTACCGCAATTTTTACAGGGTTCCACTTCAACTATCCATTGATTATATTTCACTTTTTCGTTAATTATCCGTTGTTCCTCTGCTTCTGCTTGATATTTTTTGACTGCAGCTTCTGCCTCGTCCTTTTCTATGTCTAGTATCTAGAAAACCACTTTCCACACATTTTTTAGTTAGAAAAGTATATATACGCCTGAAAAAAAATAGTTGCACACAGTATATACCATAGTTATTTAGCAAAAACATGACTGTGCCGCGTAACATTGTGTTGAATTAGTTAAATGTGTTGATGCGACAATCGAACAACGTAATAATCCAAATTATATGCCACAATTAAAAATAAATAAAGCACAAGATACAATATCCACACAATTTCGTAGCCCATATCAGTCATTGTTTATGTTGGTGATATGGGTGTTGGTAAAAGTAAATTACCAACAGTAATCGTTAACACATTTTATACTCAACGTCCACAACGCTCGTTCCGTAGTGGACCTGGGATATATGGTGTTACACATGGCATATGGATGTGGTCTGATTCATTACCACATCCATCTGGCGAAGGAAGTGTCCTGTTATTAGATTGCGAAGGCATGGATGATATTGATAAAAATATTGGTGCCAATTATGTAATAGACAAAGACCAGAAACAAATGATGAACAAGTAGTTACAAATCAGCAACTATTAAATGTAAAATAAAAATTAATCAGATTCTATATTGGAAGTGTAATTAGACTAGTTAGATATAAAATATTTGGATTAGATAAAGAATTACGTAATGAATTCCAGAATGATCATGACGAAGGGTCTGCCTTGAAAGAATTGCCAAAATCTATTTCAAAAGAATTGAAGCATATCGAAGATAATATGATAGAGTATAAAAACCATTAAACGTAAAAAAAAGTATTTACTTTAATTCCACAATTTTTCGAACAGTATATACAACAATCGGCAACAAAACTGTTTTTTCTTTTGCATCGTCAATACCCGTTTATTCACGATCTACCAGAAGGACGACCATCTCGCTATGTCACTCGTTGGCAACAATTAAATAGATGCTATCTCGACTTAATCGTACATTTCATTATAGTATTTTTCTTTTAAATGTATTCTAATTCACATTTTTTCAACTCCTTTTCTGTTGCTTTTGAGTGTGATCTGAGAAAGATATTTGAAAAAGAGTTTTGTTCACTTTCAGGGCTTCAGCCAGTGCTTCGCTTCTTATATCAGATATTTTTTTAGAAGAAAGATTAAGTTGCGTGAGAGTTTTGTTCAGTTTCAATGCTTCAGCCAGTGCTTCGCCTCTTCGAGCAGGTATATAGTTATTTCCAAGATTAAGTTGCATGAGAGTGTGATTTTCTTTCAACTCGTTTGCGAATATGATGGTGAGTCGGTCGAATGTGTTCTGATGTGTGGTAATGGCTAAATAGTTGCTCCGGTTCATATGCAGTGTCAATGACGATAGTTGTGTCATGCAGGGCAAATGTAGCAGCACATCGTTGATCAGGTGTTCTGTGTAAATGGTGTCCAGTGATAAGGAGCGCAGAGCGGTTCATGTGTTCGGTAGAAAAGGGTTGAAGAACCGGTCGATGTATTCGCAAGCCTGTTCGCCGAAACACAGAGAACGAACTTGTGCCGTTGACGGAAAGTGTTTGTAGATAAAGTTACACCTGGATTGGCTGATGCGATGAAAGTTCAAGTAAACTGAAGGCTGTTTAGTAACTTGTCGAAACGGTCGTTTAGTCCAAGAAATGAGTGTAGAATGTCATAGGCGTCGAAATACTCGAAGACGTCAAGCATCAATTCATTTACGCGCAAACTTCGCGGCCGCAGCATGATCGCGGCAAGAATAAAGCGTGAATGTAACTAGGGATACTGTCTCATAGAGAGCTAAGATGCGGCTAAAGCAGACGTGCGGAGAAATTTATATTTCTTTTATTTATACAGCATTGGATGGTGAATTCGACGGCAATCACGAATATGTGTTTTCTGACCTTGATCGGAATATAATATGAAAATGGTTAAGATACGTGCCTAATAAAGCTCATCAACAATAAAAAAATCTCTTTATATAAATAATAATAATTTTAAGCCCTATTTTTTTATAAAGCCTATTCAGTTGGTTCTCCCCCATTTTTTCGGATTTTCCTTTTTCATTTTTCGTTTGTTTCCCCATCTTTTTATTGTTTGCTTTTTGTTCTTTCTTTCATTCTTCTTCCTTCATTCTTTTTTCATCTTTTATTGCTAATGAGCTTTATTAGGCACGTGTCTCAACCATGTTTATATTATATGCAGGTCAAGGTCAGGGAGTACATATTCGTGATTGCCGTCAAATTCTCTATCAAATGCTGTATAAATGAAAGAAAATAAATTTCTCTGCACGTCTGCTTTAGCCGCATCTTAGCTCTCTATGAGAAAATATGATCCTTTTTTCTGAATTCTCGTACTTCAGAGGATTTCTCATCTGATTCTTTACCTTCGGATTTAGCAATAAAACAGTCAATGCCTATCAGTAAAAATCTTTGCTCGATTAATTATAAGAGAAAAAAGAAAATTCGAAAATACTAACACTAATTATTTATCGTGTTTCTATGGTGAAACACCGTTTCTTTATATATTAGTGCAACTTGTTATTACACAATAGAAATAAAACTCATTTTTGAATCGTGACATAAGGGTCATGTGCCGTTTTTAATGTCGAAAGAATTGTTTCTCTGGACACTGTACACGTGTGAAAACTGATTATTTTCAAATACTGACCTTATTTTTTTCATACATCCTGGCATAGTATCCTGTTCCCTTACCTTTATTCACGATCTCCCTTCTTTTTGCTCTTCTCCTGAAATAAATATCTCTATGTATGCCGAGTAGCGGTCCTGTGCGAATATTTCCATGCTAAGCAAAGAGAACAATTGTTACACGTGTTCTGTGCGTCTTTTTCTCTTGTGTAAATGGTGGCGTTTAAAAATCAGATACTCACAGACAGTGTCTTTATTCTTCTCCAAATGCCCACATGATAAAATCTCAACTATACTTCTATTTCTAAATGGAAATGGACTGAAACTGGTAAAAACTTACAAATATCTAGACTTTATACTAGATAAGTCGCTGTCATTTGGCGCTCATATTAATGATGTTTGTATTCGTACGTGTAAACGTATGGATGCCCTAAAATCCGTGTGTGGCAGACATTGGGGACTTTTTCCTTATACAGCTGTGCTTGTTTGTCCGTTTTCTGTTAACATACGCTGCTCCGTGTCTCTCGTGTATTTCTATTTCTAGCTGGATTAAACTTCAACGCATACAAAACGCTAATCTAAAAATATGAACAAGATTTAGCTAACTATGAGACGAATTAGAGATGGGATAAATTAGGAAAAAAACTTATGAAATGAATTGAAGGGACAGCCGTTGTTTTGATTGATTTTGGTATTCAAACTCGACTTCGTTTGTACTGAATAAATTTGTTTTACAACCGCTTATTTAGTTTAGCAGGTAAACAAATGTTGATTGTACGTTAACATTCAATAGCACGCTTATTCGACTAAAAACGGCTTAGAAATATGCTAAATACTGAGAAACCTTAACAAGTGACTCGATTTATCTTGTAGGATTCCAGACGTTTTACGATAAGTTTTCCCTTTCTTGCTAATCATGTAATGCTCTTAAAACCTTCTGTCAGAAATCTATCTGAACATTTAGAAGTTGTCGCTCGTAAATGGGTCATTGAACTGTTCGTAGTTTAAGTGACGAACAGTTTGGTTTGATCCAGTACCGTGATCAAAACAGGGGCGTAAGGGGGGTGTACGTTCCTCCAGCTTTTGGAAAAAAATTTTCTCTTTAACAATCTCTTGTTCCCCAAGAATTTTGTTTGAGCTCTTGCCGAGATCTGGTAACCAATCTAATCAAAATTTAACAAACACTTGCTTTCTTCCACTGTGTCTCCCAAAATAGTGGAGCGCTAAATTTTCCTCCCACTTTTCTTCAATGAGAAAAAAATCTCAAATTGACATCAACATTATCATTTAGTTATTGTGTTGAAATTATGATGATAGATGGTGGTGTGTTCTATAGTTTTCTCTCAAATAAATTTACACCTCTCCTGCTTTTTTCTCTGGTCACGCCTCTGATCTGATCTCAAAACCTAATTTTAGAATTGTCACCTGTTTTTCAGGAGAAGAGCTTGATTTTTTAAACTCGATTTTGTTTTACAATCGCTTATTTAGTTATAGAAAAGCTCAACTCTTAGAAACTTGAACTAGCTCTTACTACACTGACACTGTCTCTCTCTCTGACTTTTCTCTCAACACGCCCGAGAATATATACGTCAAACATTTCCAAAAGAATTCAACAATTCAATCTTCAAAAGTGATCTTTTGCTATAATCGTCGCCCTAATGTGTCTAGAGAAAAGCCCGTCAAAAGCGTCTGTGCGTCATGCGAGTTATTGCATTTACAAAAAGAAAATCGACGGCAGAATCGAAGTTTTTTTATGACGTTTCTGTTGTTCTTTTTAGCTATAATAACTCTTAGCTATAAGAAACTCATGAAGTTCTTATACTAAAAGTTTCTTCTCAAAAGTTGTTGCGTCAGGAGTATAAAATTTATGCACCTCTACAAACTAAGTTGAAAATTTATGACGAATTCTTATATTCGAACATAGAAAGCGAAAAGTTGTGCCAGATACCATTATTTTACGGCTAAGTTACCATTTTTATTTTAGAGTAATGAGATGAAACAAAAGAGTAGATGAGCGTGTTATCTATATTTGTTACGTTCTCCATTACATATGCGTGCGCAAATAATTGTTTCATACAAGAGGAAAAAAGTGAAAGTAGATTTATATACAATTCAACTTTCTTTTCCTATTAGTTATATTTTACTCAAAACAGCAAGAGAAAATTTTTTTACTGCTTCAAAAGATTTTTAACAGTTTTTGATTTTAAAAATAATGGCTAATAGAACAGACAAACATGGTTTCTCAAAGGAAGCACACGATAAGGTTAGACGAATTTTTTTGTTGTAAAAAGAGAAAATTATTTATTAATTTTTTTCATCAATTAAAATTAAATGAACCTTTCTTTATACAACTTCACGTATTCAATATGCGTTGATTCTTATAGTTCGATGATAATTAAATAGAAACCTAACTATTTATCTATTTGGCAGATCATGGAACATTTTGAAGTCTATGAATAAGCAAAAGGTCAATATTTGGAAGTAATAAATTCTCACACGTGTAATGCGTGTCTTATTCTTTTTGTTTTACAACTATTAATAGAATAACAATATTAATTTTTTTGTTTTTTGTTCAATAAAAACACGTCTCTACTATATGATACTTCTTTTCTCAATGTACAGTGTGTGTCATAATTGATCGTACGATGATACAGAAAAGTTTTCTTCGTTTGCTTTCTCCATAATGAAAATAAACAAAAGTATTCTAATTATGAAATTAATTTGAGTCATATATATGAACGTTGCTTGATGTTAGTATTGACAGACAAGTAGTTGAATCCCTGAATAGCCCAGTAGTGGCAATTCTTTCAAGGGAGACCCTTCGTCATGATCATTCTGGAATTCATTACGTAATTCTTTATCTAATCCAAATATTTTATATCTAACTAGTCTAATTACACTTCCAATATAGAATCTGATTAATTTTTATTTTACATTTAATAGTTGCTGATTTGTAACTACTTGTTCATCATTTGTTTCTGGTCTTTGTCTATTACATAATTGGCACCAATATTTTTATCAATATCATCCATGCCTTCGCAATCTAATAACAGAACACTTCCTTCGCCAGATGGCGGAGCTATGGGCGAGAAGGGGCTGAGTCCCTTATAAAAAATTTATAGATTTTTAAATTTATAAATTGTTTATATAAATTTGAATCAGTTCTACAAATACAAGACTTCAGCTGTATTCAAAAGAGGAAACCTCAATCTGTATCCAATTTATATCACTCATATTCCTTCCCACTGCATATTTCTCACATATGATCACTCTTCATCAACTTGAGGACGTATATGTAACTGCGCACACGAATGTGTAGATAACGTATAAACCAAAGAGGGAAAGCGACTCCACAACTTTTTGCCTTCAACTTTAAGGTTTCTGGTAACCTTTAGTGAGAAAATGTAAAATTACAACTGTAATATTTGCGACAAAACGAGTCCACATTATTCGGTTTGAGAGGCATACCTTTGTTATCAGTCCGTCTGCCAACGTTGAATGCAAAAGTATTTTCCTTCCAAACTGTATCAGTTTTTCTGAATACAACTGTGTCAGTGATGTCACCTATTCTGAATAGATCCTATGTCCATCCAACGGACCTCATACATCAGAAGGGTAGGTATCGTTCTCATTTTCATCTCTCTTACCTACAAATAGGTTATGCAAAGGAGCACGATCCAATACATTTTTTGTAGTTTGTCCTCCTCACATCATTGCCTTTGCACAATAAGGTTTCATTTTGATTCAATGGTATTGCGTTGTACATATATATATATATATATATATAAAATGCTAAATATTCTTCTTCGGAAATTCATAACTGCAGGTTTTGTTCAGCTAGAGCTGTGTTTATAACAAGCGGGAAAAAGTGTCTCTCCGAGACGCTAGAAGCCGAGCGGAGCCATAGAAATCTCTGAGGAGACGAATGTATCTGAGTCAAAAGACTGAGGTCTATGCTCTGAAAATGATGCTTCATCATGTGAATAATTAGTTTTTACATATTTGTTATGTATAGCAGTAAAAAGCTATATATTAAGATTCACACTTGAGTAAAACTACAATGGATAATGAATATTAGGAGCCAAAAGAGATCATAACGAACCACAAGAAGGCAAAAAGTTGTGGAGTCGCTTTCCCTCTTTGGTTTATACGTTATCTACACATTCGTGTGCGCAGTTACATATACGTCCTCAAGTTGATGAAGAGTGATCATATGTGAGAAATATGCAGTGGGAAGGAATATGAGTGATATAAATTGGATACAGATTGAGGTTTCCTCTTTTGAATACAGCTGAAGTCTCGTATTTGTAGAACTGATTCAAATTTATATAAACAAGTGAGTGCCATCGAATCGTATGAACAACTCTTTTGGTTTTTATCTTTTTATTAAACTGAGCAAATGCAAAGAGACTGGGCTATTCAAGGATTCAACTACTTGTCTGTCAATACTAACATCAAGCAACGTTCATATATATGACCCAAATTAATTTCATAATTAGAATACTTTTGTTTATTTTCATTATGGAGAAAGCAAATGAAGAAAACTTTTCTGTATCATCGTACGATCAATTATGAGGTTCATTGCGGATGACGCAATAAGCATTCTTATCAAGGCATTTTGCGATTCGTGCATAAAAGGCCGGTGTGAAACTCAAGATGCATATCTAAAGGTAAACTGAGAATATAACTAAAAATGATCAAATTTTCTTATCTGCAATTGAAAACTTTTAATATTGGAAACGATTTTTTATACAATGGCCGTGTAGAAAGGTTGATCATGTTAATAGATGAGGCTATAGAATCATATTAACAGTGAGGTGCAAATGATATTTTCTCTTCGATGCTAAACTGTATATTCAAAAACCCTATCCGATACTCTTCAGAAAAAAACAGACTTGAAGATTTCCTTCATGATTTAACTCGACGGTGCATGCCTTTAAAACAAAGTAGGATGAAGTATTTTGAAAGTTTTCTTAGAGAGTGTCAATAGCAGAGCTTAAAGACAATGGTAGAGCTTTCGCATTGTTGTTTTTCATGTTTTTGAAAAATTAAAGGCATAAGGAAAAGTAGAAAGTGCATAAAATTTAATTTAATACGGTTGCATTGTTAGTCAAGTGTATATTTGATACTTTTTTTGAAAGAATGTTGCTATCTACAAAAAAATACGTGTCCAAATAAAAGTATTTGACAGAAAAAGGGCATACAGCCAGCTTGTGGTAGAGAGAAAACAATGAACAGATCGTACCTATGTACGTACATTGCATACGCACTATAAAAATTTGATAAATGAGTGTCCATCAATTGCAAAAAAACGAGATAAAAGGTCTGAATCATAACTGCAGTCTTTACTTTTATTATAATTATTGTTCGAAATTAGCTTCGCGTATTAAACCTTCAATAGCAATTTTTTAATTTTATTTTCAATAAACATTCTCAGAAGACTTGAGAACTAGAAAAGAAATGAGTACAAATCAAAAATCGAACAGAGCAACAAAATCTGGTTTTGCTCATGAAGCTAATGAAAAGGTATGTCTATGTTGGAAACAGCATGTCTCGAACTAATGAAGAAGATGAATTAGTTCCTCTTATCTACAGAAGAGAATTGAGAATAGAGCATTTCCAAACAAAAGTAAGTAAGAGCAAGGAAAGCTACAGTGCCCGCATCTAGATTAGTTTGATTAAAACGTACATTCATATCTGACTAGAAGTTGGTTGGGATCATGTTCTCGCTGAGGCAGCCGTTGCGCTGGCCAATTAACCGACATGAGCAAACTGAATCCAAATAACGCTAGATTTCTAGTTACAGTCAGATACAGGTTAGACAAATGTACTAGTATAGAATCTCATCCGTAGACGCGTACGACGTTCAAGGAAAAAAATAATTTAATAAAAAACTTTTTAAATTCATATTGTCTCTGAAGGAAAATAAAATATGAGGAAATTTTTTCAGTTTTCCATATATTTTTTGATAAGGCTAAATAAATCGAAGAAAATTTCCCCATTTTATCAGTGATGACTCAAAATGGTACTGCATTACTAGAAAATTTTTAAGCTCATTCGAAGAAGTTTCAACAGATTCTGTACCTTTAATCTAGATGTAAGCGGCTGCACGATATTTTTTCGTGCTTGGGATGAATTGCCTACAGTTTGATCTGTCACCGCATCTTTGACAGAAGTTTCTCATTTAAAAAATAAGATTTTAATGATTTTTACCGCTGCGTGACTTCTTACTCTATCACTTTTGTGTTTATACTTCAGGTTCAAGCTAAATATGATGTCGAACAAGCTCAAGAAGCGTTACGATGGATAAGTGATCTCACTGGTGAACAATTTGATATAAGTGGGCAAAAAGATAATTTTTATCAACAACTGAAAGATGGAAGAAAATTATGCCAGTAAATTGAACTTATTATCGATAGCATGATGTGTTACATCTTTACTGTTGCGTTATTCTTCTCTTTGTTTTAGGTTAATGAATGTTTTAAATCCAAATAGCATATCAAAAATTAATCCTGGTGAAAATTCATTCAAATTGATGGAAAATATTTCAAAATTTACAACAGCAGCTAAAAATTATGGTCTGTCTGATTCTGAAACATTTCAAACTGTTGATCTATTTGAACAAATGAATCTTCATCAAGTAAGATAACAAAAACAATTTGCTCTTGTTTCGTCAATCGAACTGTTTTTATAAACAACTGAAAAAATTGTTATTTCTAGGTGTGCTTATGTTTGCATGCACTCGGAAGAAAGGTATAGCCTAGAATCTAAACACACAAAATTTTGAACTCTCTTCTTTCTCTTTGTTAGGCACAAAAGAAAGGTTTATCTGGACTTGGTCCAAGAGAAGCTGAAAAAAATGAAAGAAATTTTTCAGCCGAAACACTAAACCAAGGCAATTCGATAATAGGCGGTCAATTAGGATTTAATAAAGGTATAGTTTGAACTGCATAGTTTTACGTTTCTACAAAACATTTTATTGGCCTAGGTGCTAATCAAAGTGGAATTGTGTTCGGCAATACACGACATATGTAAACTAAATGTTATTAATATATGTAGCTTACTGTACCAGTTTGGAAGTAACAAACCAGCATTGTTTGATTAAATACTTACAATGTTTCATCTATTTTTAGCTCGTTGATCCATTTTTAGATTTATTGATGTTGTAAATTAATTTTTTTGTTGTTTATAGAAAAATGCTTTTTAATAGCGGTATGTTCTCTGCAGAATCTACATATAAGAATGAAAAACTTTCCTCGACGGGAAAGTTTCTAGATATTTCCTACAGTTCATATATATATTGCATCAAAAATGCTATTTTTGGAAATTTTTTCTGAAAAATTTCTCCAAATTCAAAATTTTTCCCCGACGAATATCGGAGCAAACGGGTATATTCTATCAGTGTGTGATCACCAGTTTATTTAGAGCTGACACATATAAGCACTCGTAGAAATAGGATTTAAACCCATACTCACGTGTTTGGACGTTGTAGAAGTACCAAAAATTTTCTCATAGACACAGAACAAAAGATTAGATACGTTCGATATGAACCTATATCATACTATATCATAAAAAGCTTATATTTATATTAACAAATGAAAATTTGATAGCTGATATGAACACATTACAATAACATATCAGAATGTCTTGTAACGCTTAAGCACGACATGGTCGCATAAACAGGAAAAAGCTGATGTCGAAAATTTTCAGTTTTGTCCAACGAAAAGCATGACCATTCTAGTCATGCTGATGTAGAAGATTTTACAGGAGAAGTACTTATAAATAACGGGGGATTCAGAATAAATAACGATCTCCGTATTTTTAAGTTTTCTCTTTTTCCGTCAGTCTCCATGAGTTAATTTTTTCTCTTAGGTTCGCCATTTCATTCTTTACAAAAACCATATTGAACATTCTTATACAGCCTCACTCTCTACAATTTTCTAACCGAAAACAGTCTTTTCAATTTAACTCTTGTTTTGGGATATAAAGGAGGTAAGACATATTTTTTAGCCCTTGACAAGCTCTATCAATTAATTGTATTTAAAATTCTTCATGATCATAAGCGGTTGAGGCAGAGATTTTCTTTTATCGATTTTGTTAAAAGTTATCATTTTCAAACTGCAGTTCTGGAACGGTTAAGAAAATTTTAATAACTAGGACAAAATCAAACATTTTAAAATCGAGTGTGCTTTATCTTAAAGCAGAATACTTCTCCTATCACATGCAAGCAAATAAGTTTAATAACTTCACTTCTTTTACTATACCAATAAGGCAAAAAAGTCTATATATATAGATAAGACTTTATATTAGTGTATCAAGATAAAGCGCACCCTAAAAATTAATATAAGTCATCTTGATGGAAATTTGCTAATTGACCAATCAGAAGACAGAAGAAAACTTTCATTCATTTCATTAGGTCACATTCACGGAAACGACAAAATAAAATACTTCTACACGACATACAGCGACTTTTCTTTAATTATACTTTTAATATTCTTTTCTGCTCAGGCAAATTAAGTCAATTGAATGTATAAAGAATAAACTAAAATAAAGGTAATTTCTCTTTTTAAATTCGTTTTTCTTCTATTTTATTGTGAGAAAAATTATACGTAGATTTTGTCGGAGACTCAACCGGAAACAATGGCGAAATGCTGCTCAAGTATTAATTAACCTTTCGCGTTGGTTACGATATATCAGAAGCAAACGCTAGAATTGAAGCTCTACAGTCAACGTAGTTCTTGATCTTTAGATTTTATACGGTGATTATAGAGTTTTGCTCTTAGCGTTCGAATGTTTTGGTTATAACTTGTTCAGACTTTCTTTTCTTATCTCTCTGTTTTAAGGTGACTTGTCTGCTGACTGTATTGTGTTATTCAACACTCACATTTGACCTTGATTTCTATTATGATACAGCTAAATGACAGCGTATATAAAGTGTGCTTAAGAAAAAATCACAAATTAGAGATAAATAACTTTTCTGTTTTAACAAAAACATAATTTTAATATCAGTGTGCAGAAGATTAGAGGCTATGAGATGCACCCGTAGTTTAGCGAATTTCTAGTGAGTTGGAAGAGTACGCGCCGCTTTTTAGTCGACGGGAATCATTTGTTCTTATTCAAAATTCCCTGAAAATTCTTATGCTTCTGTTTAGTTATAGTTCGTGTTGTTTTTTCTTGATTTACGCATATTATAGAGCCGATCATTCTAAATTCATATTTTGTAAATTTATAATTTCTCAGTATATCAAGACGTGACGTTCCAGTGGCTTTTGCGAACAAGCACGTCAGTGGCGGGTTGACGTGATGGCAAGGTGTGGCAATTGCCACGCCCAAAACAGAGACCACATGGGTGTGCTCTTAGTTTCAAAAGCGGTTTTTTTTTGTTCACTACTGATACTTTTCGAAATTTATTGCCACACCAAAAAAACAGACTCTGATCCACCACTGAAAAAAATCTGTTAAAACCCGGAAAAATTCGAAAAGAAGAGGTATTGAAAATCGGAAGAACCGTATTTTCCGAATACTTTAGTTTCTGATAAAGGTAATAGCTTTTCTGCTAGAGCAACACGTGTTCTTTTTTCCAACAGGAAAAAGCACATTCAACAACAGTTACAAAAATCAAATATATCAAGCATTGATTGTTTCTTTTGTGATTTTTTTTAACCGTTCATTCATGAAAAACACTTAAAACAATAAACTGAAACAAATCAAAACAAAAACATATTATGTTTAATTGAATTCGTTTATTTTTTTGCTATATGTGTGGATTTTTTTTTGACTATGTACTACTGCTTTTAATAGATCTGGTTAAATTATAAAACTGTTTATAATTAATAACAATCAAATATTTGACAAACGTGAAAAAAGAAAAACCCTGTCTTGGAATAAAATATGTTTACAGAAGTCAGAACTATAGACGATGAACAACTGGAGCATGGACCAAGAACTTATCCTGTACTTTCGCTTAATATCAGATTTCTGATGAAGTATCAAACAGATTACTATTTATAGTCATTGGACATATAACTATACCCTTTCAGAACAGACATTTAACAAGTAACTAATTAACTTTTAGATTGTCAAAAATCTCGGTTGGTGATGATAGATAAAAAAAAGCGTTTTCGAATGTCTTTTTCGTTACTTAGTTAATTGAGAATAATCGAAATATTTTACATAAATTGACGAACCGAAATGTAATTTCTTCAAGAAACTAAAATAATTTTTTTGCATGAGACAAATCATATCGAAGGTTTTCGTTCTATTCCGCTATTTGACAGTAACGCTCAATAAGTTAAAAAAAAATTTCAATTTTTAATGCACATTTCATCGAAATTCTTCAAAATATACTTGTACTTCCATCAGGATAAACTGAATAAAATCACTGTATATTAGTCAGAAGCCTAGAGAGTGGACCATGATTTTAGAGAAAATTTGATAAAAAAAGCTTCGATTATCAAAGTTGTGCGGAAACTTAAGTCAATATTCTATACTAAATGCACAAAGATTCTTTTTGCGTAGAAATTGCCAACAATTTTCAAAAACCTTCAGAATTGTACCATATTTCATACGAAACATTATAAAATTAAATTTGATTATATTCAAATCAAAAATGAATTTTAAAATTCTATTTAAAGTGAGCATAGAGTTATAAATTTTAAATATCAATTAAAAAAAACATGACACTTGTTTTGTGAGAACATTATTAATTTGAAGAAAGAAAGATGAAAATACATTACCAGATTCTGTGCATTAATACTAATACTCTGTTGTGTTGTATTTTTTATCAAACTGTTGAACCGTATTATTAATAGCTACAAAAAATTGATTATAATGTGTATATAGCGCGTTAAAAGCGATATTTTTTCTTATCGTTGATTGCCATAATTTGTCAATTTTTCATTATTGACGAATAAAATATATTTCTGTATATATGTGAATAAAAAATATTGTAGTTTGGACAATCGCTTACATTTTTGACCTATGATGAAAAAATAACAAATTGGCATGAAAATGTTCCGTATAAAATCTGTAAATTTTGCTTTCTCTAAAATATAGACTATTATATTTTCATTATTTTTCCACTTTTTTCCGTTTTTTTCTATTCAAGCTATTATTTTCTCAATATCTTGAAGAAAAACGATTTAGTTTTTTTTTCGCTTCAGATAAAATATGACTAAGTGTAGACGATGTTTCTATCGATGGTTGGATGATCATTATTATTTTTTTCTCTCCTTTTCTATTCATTTATACATCACCATCATCGTGGCAGACGTTCTTGCTTACTTGTTTTTTTCTTTTCGCTTGCTCCTTTTTAGTGACAATAATTTTTCATTTAAAATCGGCTGCAGTTAAGAGACAACCTACGAATATAAGACTCGTTTCTTTTCTTTTTTCTCATGAAATACTTCTAGAGAGACTATATAAAATAGACACGGTAAGACAATGACAAATGATGTGCTCATTCAGTTGATTGTAACAGTTAAATTTGTATTCATTGTTATAATTATGAGCCTGTAAATCTCCATGATTGAAAGAAAATGTTTTAAACGTTTTTTAGCCCATACATTAACGGAAATATCTATGAATTGCAATATTTTCTAATATTTCTCGTTCTTAGTTTTGAGTCAAACGGCAAAACTACTTAAGCATCACCGTTATCTATTTTGATCAGATTTTATTGTTTATTCTATTGCAACTATTGATGTTAGTACGCTTCATCAAATTTTGGAGCATAAAATGAATATGTAAATATGTAGATACTTGTTTTTTTCCCTCAAAAACGACAAAAAACTATTTTTTTTATAAGATTTTTATAGTGTGTTGCTATAGTTAACTGCTTATTCTAATTACTTTAGTGTTTCAGTTTAATTGAAATATTTGAAAGTTGTCAATATTTAATATTTGTCGAAGTGTAATTTAATCGTTTGAATACCATAACATGTAAAACATAAAATCGAACATTCAGTACCACTTAACTCATTTATTTAAACTAACATTAAACAAAATAAGTGTTATTGCATCACTTGACTTTTCATAAAACAAGCAAAATAAAAGGATGGTTTAGTCAGTTTACTCTGCTACTGGAATGTAATTCTGTCATGTTTGTTTTTCTTACATTTTTCATACGGTGAGACGCTGAAA